TATTCTGTGACCCAGATACTTATATCACACACTGCTGTACGGGGATGATAAGCTCATGTGGCTGGTCTTAGAAGTTTAGAATCATGGGCAAACGATGGCTTTGACTTCTGGATGAACTACAAGAAGAACTACATTTTGCTCTGAAGGTGGATGTAGATTCACCTGTGAGGTCATCTGTAGGCCAGGATCCAAGCTCGCACATACGACAGGTGTATTCATCAAACACAAACTCATTTTCTTTACACGGAGTGCAGGTCCAGCAGCAGCTCACCTCACCCTTACGGATAACCTGAGGTGGTCAGAACAGAGAGGTCAAGTTATGTAAGTTATAGAGTTCTGTGAAGAAAATAGCGACTTAAGACTGGCTTTGTGGTCCAGGGTCACATATACACTGACATATTTTCACCTTTATCTGAGCTTTTTCACAGGGATCACTGCACACTGATCTGATGATGGCACTGCTATTGGCCCAAATCTCCTCGTCATCCATCTTCAGCCCACTGTTGTCCCAGCTGCCCACATGGATGTAGCTATAGTCCTCCTCACTCATCTGTTTAAAGTTCATGATTTCATACCTGGAAAAACACACATAAAAGCACTGTTATGGACATGAAACGGTTAACCCAGCATCATTCATGTTTTGCTCATAAAGCCACTTAGTCTGAAGGAAGGTATTTTTGAAAATCACAATGACATCAACAAGACATTGTTTTCATTCTCTTTGAAATGAGTTTAGAAGCACATTCTTACTTGTGTTTGGAGTAGAATATGAACGATTCCTACCTCCCCGGGGAGTCTCCGTTCTCATCAAACAGCACCACTTCTCCCGAGACGCCAGTGAAGTTTGTCCTCATGAGGAATTCTAAGAGTTTACCTCCATCAATCGGCCGCATGGCTTCACACAGACCTGCGTAGCCGGGACACAGAGACTTCTGCATGGCGTGCAGGCCGTAAGCCATAGAGTAGATGGCATTGATCACAAAGCCCATCTTCGTGTCCTGAGCGTACTGGTGTCGGAGCAACTCTTTCTCTATGAGATGGTGTAGTGAAAACAAACAACA